TCATCACATGCACATAAAGAAAACTGTGTGCAGCGTCCACAATTCAAATACACCAAATGCCGGGCAAAAAATATCTACTACACTCTCTTGAACTGAGGTAAGCAGTTTAACCATATAACCATATTCAATGACAATAAAAATATACTACATTATAGAAAACCAATTCCTCAATTGTTCATGTTAACACCGCAAGTACCAGTTTCACATTACACACTAAAATCAGGATTTTTGCCTTTAAAACTTAATTGATCAATTAAAATACTAAAATAGTTGAAAGACTGCAAATTTAGGATAAAATTAAACAACACATTTGAGCCGCGTCATGACCAAAACCAACATAATGGGTGTGCGACCACCATGGATCCATACCAGCCTGCGCCTGATGTTCGCTTACAAACCCTAAAACAAGTAGAGAAACTGATAGCGAAAAGCATGGATCCTGATCAGACTGCGCGAATGCGCAGGCTGGTCTGGATCCATGCTGGTCGCAAACCCACTATGTTGGTTTTGTCATGACGCGGCTCATTTAAAATCAAGATACAATCGAGGTATGACAATAGGTAATCATGTTCAACAAACAATAATACATAAGCAATCTATGGCAAGATAAAAAAAATATTAGTCAATGACCATTCATGCTTCTACAGTGGAGATACTGCTACCCTTCAGACCTAAACATTAACTGTATTTCTAAGTCAGCAATGAAAAATTCTCATTTCATGGGGAATGAATACTAGTTATTTTTTTGTACATTTTGTTTTGTATTAAGTAAGTGTCCACTTTTGAATGTACTTTTTCTCAGTATATGCGAGTGGACAGTTTGCAAATTGATTGTGCACCAGTTCTGACCTATCTTTAAGCAAATTCAAACTACACATGAATTCCTTCGTCAGCTTGTTAAACATGTTTTATGGTTGAAAAAACAATCAAACAAAACAAATTGTCTTAAATCAAATTGTTACATGTAAAAACATTAGCCGAGCTCTATATATACAAAATGCTTCAATTTGCTCCACCGACTGCCCCATTCTTTATAAAAAAAATCAAATGCTTGTAAAACTGAAATTCAATATTCTGAGTAGTTTCCCTCCCTCTCCAACCTGAATGGGACCCCTGGTCCAAATACATCTTATACATGTAGACCTAAGAACCTCCAACTATTTGGTTCTCACATAACACATAACATTGTGGTTTTTAAAGTTTAACAGCCGTAAACAGTATACCAATGCATCAATTTTATCAATCGTTTTCAAAAAATATATGAGCTGTGCCATGACAAAATCAACATAGTGTGTTTGCATCCGCACCTAATCAGAATCCATGCTGTTCGCTTATAAACCTTATTAGAGAAACTGTAAGAGACCATCTTGGATCCTGATCAGAGTGTGCAGAAGCACAGTCTGGTCTTGATCCATGCTGGTCGCAAACGTTCTGTGTTTGTTTTGTCATCTCGCAGCTCATATATGGGTGGGTGCCATTATCATCTTTAAATATTACACCCGCAAACAACTACAAACTTTAAATATATAAAAGAGTTCCGTTAACTTTGGCTTTATAATAACTTTGTAAAAAATATATAAATTCCAAGGTAATTTCATACTAAAAACTTGTCAGTTTATTATATGGCACAAAAGTCATATTCTTTTCACTTCTATAGTAAAATGTATTTACGTCATTGACAACTATTCAAGTTAACAACTTTACCATGGAAAAACTTTCCTACAATATGTTATTAAGAGATAAAAAGTCTTGAAAAACTTCACAATTTGATTCAGTAAAAAACACTTTCACACAAAACATGTACTTTTGGACATTTTCTTTTGAGAAAATATACTAAATGATGTTTTTTCACTCTTTAAATTCATTTAAAACCCATACATTGCTTGAATATTGGAACAATCCATTATCAATTATGGGGTAATCACAATGAAAACTTGGGAGTTTGCCGGCCTAGTCAGGCTGCACACAGAGGCTCTGGCTGCCCTTGCTCTATAGTGATAAACTATAAATGAACAGTTGTTTATGTTTAAAAATTTAAAAAAAAAAAAAAAAAAAAACTCTCCTTCCAAAATGCTAATAGCCACTCAAAGATTCATATCTAAAAATTACTGAATGAGTACAACATATACAGTTGATGTTCAAATCAACAGTTGATTAAAAATATAGATAATTTCAATTCCTTTTCTTTTTGTTGATATAGAATATATCTCACTGAAAAGCAGAACAGTTTCCAACATTGTCACACATTCAGAGTAAGTGCAAAATGATAAGAGATGAATAAAATATTCAGATTTTCTAGTCACTAATAAATCAGATAAATTTAATATTTGTATTTATCTTTTTCACTATTAAGTAAGAAAAATCAAATATTAAATTTTTTCTTTTCAATTTCTAAGAAAGATAAAACAAATATTCACATTTCTTTCTTCACTTATTTAGTTCATGTAGAAAAAAAAACTAATATTCGAATTTTTCTTTTCAATTTTTCAAAAATTAGTCAAATATTCACATTTTACTTTTTTTTTTGTAAGAAAAAATATTCCAATGTTCACACTTTTTACTTTTCCCCATAACAAGTACATGTAAAAGAAAAAATATAAAAGTCACATTGTTTTCTTTTTCATGAATAAGTAAAATAAATCAAAATAAATCTAATTTTCACATTTTATTCCCACATTTTACGTCGGAAAACTAAAAATATTCACTTTTTCTTCATTATATATCATGTTTCATGATGACAAACAATCAGATATTGACAGTGAGTGATATACAGTGAATGATATGATTTATATCTCACTAATAAAATGCCATTAAGTAGCATAGAATAAAACTGGGGAGTGAAATATAAATGTCATGAAAGCAAAAGAAAAATTGCAACACCATGTCTAACTTTTTCATGTCTCAGTCATATTTCAATTTTTTCAAAAAGAAAAATATTTATAAAATGATGCAAAATTATTGAGCAAATTATTCAAATGAGAAAACAAAACACTGCCTTTTCTAATAATTCTCTCTACTATATGAAAATTGAATGAAACTGTTTTTGTAAATGTAGTACATGTATTTGTCTGTCAAATCTTAAAACTCTTAAGTGACTTTCAGTGTTTTATCAAGAAGTTAAAGTGTATAAAGCTACATCTCTGCTGAATGCAGTTAACAAAATTTTGGTTTGAATTTTGAAAAAGAATAATTGTAAAGTACATGTTTCAAAGAAATATGTTGGTTTATTTTCTTACGAGCAAATGGCACATGCACAAGATCATTGGTAAAAGTTTAAAATCATATTTAAAATTGCAGCATAATATTTTGTTCTATTTACATTCAGTTGTTTACTGTAATTCAGTTTTCATGTGTGTTAAATAACAGATACATTTTATGGTACAACTATTTTGATAATCAACAATAGGCTTATGGACACAACATTAATTTACCACTTATGTTTAAATTTTGTTATATTGATCATTAGATATAGCTTTATACCCTTTAGGTACAAAAATTTAAGTACACCGATTTTACTCTCCCTTTGTATGATTCTCTATTTTTGTATAATAACAATTTTACCTTCTTATATGAGATACCAATTTTACTCTTTTCTGGCATGACATACCCATTTTACACTCTTCTTGTAGGTTACGTACACCGACTTTAAATACACACCTTTAAGACAGATTAATACCAAATTTAGTTTCCTGTACGACAGATCTATACCGATTTTACTTTATCAATACAGTATTTACTTAATCAATACCGAATTCACTTGTTCAGTAACAAATTTATTTCATCAATATCAAATTTACTTCATAAATACCACATCTACTTGCTTGTATGATTGATCACTTATAAGACAATGTCTAAATTTTTGTAATTTCATGTTTTATTAGATATGTGTGATTATTTAACAAAATAAGATGGTTGTTCATGTATTAAGTAAAATGTGTAATAGAAATTAATGCCTCTTATTTCTTGTTCAACGATGAAATGGCCATATTACAGATGAAAGAAAATCTTACTTATATCCCTATTTCAGACTTGGGCGAAATTGTACAGGAGGCTTCAGACTTGGGTGAGAAATTGTCCAGGAGGTTACCTAAACATCTTCCTCATATACAAACATAATTTATAGTTCACTTAACATTTATCCTTTTCCAGCCCAAGTATCATGCACATGGCTTGAATCTAGTACAGTTGGTAAGAAGCTTTACCCCTTAACCACACTGAATTTCTTAAATCAACTTCTCAGTTTTCTATTTTCGGGACAGTCCATTATGAATTTTTGGGGATATCAAGATGAAAATTTAAAGTTGGTCAGCCAACAGTAAAGAGCCTCGTCAAACTGTGTAGGCTGGCCTGGCTCTATACTGGTGGCAAGGTAGATCAGCTTTAGAACACTGGATCTATAAGGGAACAACCTTTGTCACAAGTTAAAGAGCCAGGTCAATAGACATATCCTGTCTGAAATGACTTAATACATGTACTGTTGACTGATAATTTTTTTTAAATTTAGATATCCCTTAAAAAAATAATGAACCATTCCATAAAAGCAGGGCAAGTCCATTTCAGAAATTCAACAGCAGAAAAATTATTAAAAACTTCTAAAGCTAAAAAATTAAACTAGCTTTTTTCAATAGACGATGAAATGTTGACACAACGCTGACTTTTTCCAATATATTATTTGTAAATGTTAAAATTGTTCTCTATTATCTCCCTTTGAGAAGATACATACAGTAAATGATCAATATTTTCTCAACATATATTACAATAAACAATGATTAAAATGCTTGAAAAAGTCATACATACATATGTATATATAATATATATGATTAAAACAATAAAATGTAAAAAAAAAAAAAACACACGTTAATATCAATATACATGTACAGTAAGTCTAAGACAGTTGAAAACAACAAAAAGATGCATGTTTTAAAAATACTCATATCATTATATATGTACATTATTATATATATTACAAATACATTTTATACAGATAAAGTACAATATACAGCATTTCAAAGGTTTTATAATTTCACCATGCCTTCTTCGTACGTGAATGTCAAATTCTCCACATCAGTAATGGAATGAACAACAATTATTATAAGTGTTAATTTTCGTACACTAACATATAGATAGGATACACAAATACATTAAGAAGTCTATAAAGAATCATGTATATAATGTTACAAACAATATCTTCCCCCATAAACAGAATGAAAATTATGAGATCTATAATTGAGTAGAGTTACAAATGTCTGCCCGTCCATATTTTCCTTACCTTATTCATTATAAATCCTCAAGAGCAACTTGCTGACGTTTTATAAGAGCAAAATTATTTCCTCACTATTTTACTAACTCTGTAGGTAAATGTAAGTCAGAGTAATGGGACCTGTGTCCATCATTTTAGATAATCACTACAAGTGTCTGAAGTTTCAACCTATTCCATCTACTAAAAAGTTATCAATGGTAAGATTTTTTTATACAGAAATAAAACATTTACCTGTTAAATGCAAGCTAGTCACTTTAAATTCAATTTTCCCCTTTTCTTCTGTATTTATATGCATTGGATTTTTAATACCACTCATACAATGACCACTCAAATATCTATTCAAACCTCTCAAATTTTCAAAGTTTCTCTGAATATTCATTTTTTACCCCATTCCCTTTACTCCACTCTTTCCTACACAAAATCTCTCATATATTCAATCAAAATCGCTTTTTTTTATATACCTCTTTCTTAAACCTCTAAAATATTTCATCAAACCCCTCATTTTTTTTATAATACTTCTTTCTATAGCCTCTCAAATACTTAATGAAACTCCTCTTGTTTCATATACCTCTTTCTTAAACCTCTCAAATATTTAATCAAACCCCTAAGCCTTTTTTATACCTCTTTCTCTCAAATATTTAATCAAACCTCTCATTTTTTCTTATACCTCTTCCTTTAAACCTCTTATTCAATCAAACCCCTCTTTTTCTGTCATTTGCAACAAAATTCTGCAAGTGTCACAACATGGGTGTAAAAATTCAAATTGAATTAATCAAAGACCAAAGATTTTAGGCGAGCCTGGCAAATTGATAATGCAAAATAGGTCCAGTATTCATTTCCTGTATAAAATTGCATTAACTCTAAAGCTGAAATATGCCTCAAATCTTATATAAGGTGTAACAGAAAATGCAAAATGTCTTCTCATAATGGATTACAAATACTCTTCAATAAATCTAAAAATAGAACATAAAATTATAAATAGAACATAAAATCTATAAATAGAACATAAATCTATTTATAGAAAAAAATCCAGAATTTCATAAAAGCACTTATTCATCTGAAAAAGAGTCTGTGAACCAGAGAAAACATTGAATAGGAAGAATTTCATTGGCAGTTATTTCTATGATGTTATCACATGACTAGCAGACTTCGATTTCATTGGTCGGGGCAGTGAGTAACCTAGGCAACGCTGTTTGTCAAGAGACAGCCACAGGGGTCACCTGTTTCTGCTGATATATGGCCACTGATGCTATATGCTGATTCTGCATGACCTGAAAAAGAAAGTATTTTATTATTTTTCATCATATGGGTTTTTTTTGTAATTGAAGATATAAACGTATAACAACTATAATAAATGTTGAAAAACATACTCTCTATATTGTTTGCTTCAAATTTGTAATCCAGGCATAGCTGGCCCTAACTTTGTGCAAGGCAAAAACCACCAAACGCCAGCCAATTAGTTATGTGAATTGAACATTATGACTTTGACTATTGACCTAGTAACCCCAAAAAACAATAGGGTTGATCTACTGGTCATGACCAAAGTCCATACCAAGTTTGAAGTTCCTAGGCCAAGGTGTTCTTAAGTTATTGATCTAAAAAGGTTTTGTCTATAGACCAACTGACCGCAAGACATGTGCAAAGCAATATACCCTCTCTTCTTTGAAAGGAGGCATATTAAAAGTAATGTTATACATGTTTTATTTAGTGCACCTATGAAGTTTGAGAGTGAAGGGGCCATGGGTTGTAAAGTTGTTGGTCGGGAACAGATACACAAGGTCAATATGACCTTCACCTTTAAGCCTTCCACCAAAAAATCAAAATGGTCATGGAGTGCCCAAGACCAATGCTTCTATGAAGTTTGAAAGCCAAGGGCTGATTGGTTTTATTGCTTGGAAAACATTTGACAAACAGTTTCAATGTGACCTTGGCCTTCAGCCAAAATATATACAGATCATCTAATGTGCATTTTTGCTTTAAAACTCAATCTTTTTCTATACAAATTGGTCTAATGTTGTACAATTTTGGAAACAGAAGACCCAGACCAATACACCTGTGAATGTTAATGGCTAAAGACTCATGGATTGAGGAGTCATTAGTCACAAACTGTTTCGATGTAAAAGGTCAATATGACCTAGGCTTTTGACACCAAAGCCAATCAGGGTCATCTAGTTGCCAAGACAAGTGCACCTGCGAAGTATGAGGGCAAATGGCCAATGGGTTGTGCGAAGTATGAGGGCAAATGGCCAATGGGTTGTTGGTCAACAACTGTTCTAACATAACAGGTCAATGTTTACATCTCGGAGTATCGTTTTCATTATAATCCTCGTTTATAAAGGCGCAGTCTACAGTTTTTCTAGATACTAGTATGTAATAATGTAAGTAACTGGCCGGACAAGAGGTATTTTACTGATGGATGGATTACAGACCAAGCCAACAAATTATACTCCGACTCTTAAATTTGGGACACAAACTATATTGCTTGAATGGAGCTTTGTGGCTATGAACTGAGTTTTTGTTGTGTTTTTAACACACTAAAACAGTTAAAGTCATTTGGTGATTTTCAAACTCTAATTGAGAAGAAAGAACTTTGGTGAACCTCCATGCATTATTTCAGCACAATCTGGCACCAAAGTAGAACCATCAATGTGTTGTAAGCAAGCTGGATAGCTTCCTCACAAAAAGTAACCAAAGTTCCTAGCAGGATTGAAATTCACAGTACTGAGGGATCAATGATTCAAGGTCAACAACCTTATCCACTCATTTCCTAGTTGGTAAAACTAGTTGAAACTTACTTCAAATATCATGTCCTGTACTCCAAAGCAGAAAGTGGAACCAAATGGATTGCTGGTGTTTGTGGATGAAGCCCTGTTTAGAATCACTGGTCGATTATCTGGCCTCACCAATGATTTTTGCACTGTGTCCCACTAAAATATTCAATAAAATGACAATGTTTGTATGATAAATCAAAAGAAAATTACTGTTCCAGCTTTTTAATCATAAACTTTTAAACAGACTATTAATTTTTATTGGCTAATCAGTCATATCATACTTACGAGATCATAAATTGACTTTCTATCTAAAACTGTGGTGGTTAACTGACCATAATCAAATATGCAGCTGTGAGGGTAAATTATTGCATGAGCTTGGCCACTTAGAAATCTTAGAAATCCTGTATCTTTAACTTTAAATTATTACTGATAACGACTCATGAAAGAATTAATGAACCAGATCAGATTTGAACAAGCAGTTATGAGGGTAAAATACATTTCAGCAATCAACCTTAGCAACATGGCAACGCAGGACAATTCTTAACCAGTAAACCTGCTGAATTTGTGTACATGTAATAGATTTGCCATGGTTTAAATTTGGAACCATCTTTTCAATGTTTAAGGAATTTGTATATCAAAAGACAACTAAAGAAATTAGTCCAACGTACACGGAATTATACCAACATGTTAAGAGATTTATACATGGCAGAGTAGGGCCAGAATCTGATAATCGGCCGCAAAATGAATAATAATTATCACCTTCTGGCCCATCTATGATGTGTATTAATGTCTTTAATTTACATAACAGATCTAAACTTTACTTTGATATTTCTTTTGTTGAAATTCCTATCTCTGTAGATTTCAATTGTACCATACAGTAGCTTCTACAGAGTTGCTTCCCTTATGTGTATGCAACAAAATCTAGTAGAAGCAAGATTTATTTTCACAGAATGGAATTGTAGCTAGTGTTTTTTTTTTTTTTCTTAAAATTTTAATAAAGCTGTGTGTAAAGAAATTAAGCGTATGCTCTAAATATAAAATCAAGCTATTTGTGCTTCAATCCCTATTTCACTTTAACAGCCAGCTGTTTTGATGACGTAAATTGTAACGTCATTGCTTCAGTTTGTGCACTTACCTGTGTTCAGCGGGCCGATTATGATAATCAGTTATCACAAGGCCGCATACTGATAATGGGTTATGGGACACTCATACTAGTAATCAGTTGAAATCATAGGCAATTCTGTTACTATATATAGTAACAAGGGTATTAAATAACTGTTTAATCAACATACAGACAGACAGCATGATCCCTGAGGCAAATCTATACACCCCCCCCCCCCCCCCAAAATAGTTGGAAACATAAAAATTAAGCTACAGACAATAAGACAATATAAAGTGTGGTCAAACTGTACTGAAATTCAGACTGGCCTGGCTCTATACTGGTGACAAAGGCTAATCCCTTTTGAAATCAGTACATTAAGGGCTGAAAGTCCTATAATAACCTCTAATGTACCTTTGAGTATGCTGTTATTATGACCTCCTCTTCTTCAATCTCTCCTGTCTGAGCAAGTGGCTGTGGCTTCTCCCTCTCTACAATCACTGGAATCTTAAACTCACATCTACAATACCTGTAATAATACAATAAAACCTGTTATAATACAACAATTCCTGTAATAACACACTAACATACCTATAATAAAACAATACATGTTGTAATACAATACATGTTATAAGACAACAATACCTGTAATAAGACAACAATACCTGTAATAAAACACTTATACCTATAATACAATAAAACATGTAATATTACAACAATGCATGTTGTTATACAATACCTGTAATAATATAACAACTAGAACTGTGTCCAAAGGACACGGATGCCCCCACTGACAACATATATATGGTATATAGTGAAAAAATCAACAAAGGGCCATAATTCTGTTAAATTTGGTCGCAGCAAAAATTCCTTCCTTTACTACCATCTACACATTAAGGTTGTTCATCCCTGGAAGTTTAAGCAAAATCTGCCATCCGGTTTAAGAGGAGTTGCGTTCACAAAATTTCTATATGGTATATAGTGAAAAAATCAACAAAGGGCCATAATTCTGTTAAATTTGGTCACAGCAAAAATTCCTTCCTTTACTACCATCTACACATTAAGGTTGTTCATCCCTGGAAGTTTAAGCAAAATCTGCCATCCGGTTTAAGAGGAGTTGCGTTCACAAAATTTCTATATGGTATATAGTGAAAAAATCAACAAAGGGCCATAATTCTGTTAAATTTGGTCGCAGCAAAAATTCCTTCCTTTACTACCATCTACACATTAAGGTTGTTCATCCCTGGAAGTTTAAGCAAAATCTGCCATCCGGTTTAAGAGGAGTTGCGTTCACAAAATTTCTACATGGTATATAGTGAAAAAATCAACAAAGGGCCATAATTCTGTTAAATTTGGTCGCAGCAAAAATTCCTTCCTTTACTACCATCTACACATTAAGGTTGTTCATCCCTGGAAGTTTAAGCAAAATCTGCCATCCGGTTTAAGAGGAGTTGCGTTCACAAGATTTTGGGACGTACGGACAGACGGACGGACGGACGGACAGACGTACGGACGGACGGACAAGTGCAACGCTATATGCTCCCACTCTGTGGGGGCATAAAAATGTATTAATACAAAACTACCTGTAATAATATAGCAATACCTGTAATAATAAAACAATAACTGTAATAACACAATAATACCTATATTAAAACAATTAAACAAGACATAATAAAACAATACAACAATAAAACAATGTTATAATACATCAATAGCCCTTATAATGCAACAATACCTTTTATAATACAACAAAATGTGTTTAATATAGAAAAACATGTAATTTCACATTTATGCCTGTAAAACACACAATACCTGCAATTATACAACATTACCTGTAATAATAGAACATTATTATTGGAATCTACAATCTCTGCAATAATTATCTACTATTCCTGTAACAAAACAACATTATAATTGGAATCTACAATCCCTACAATAATACAACAAATTGAAATTTACAATGCCTGCAATAACAAAACATAATTGAATAGGATTTCCATTTTTATTAGAGGCAACAGATGTACCAACCAAAAAAAACTGATTTGGGCAAGGGTTAAGGGGGATAAGTATGTTGGAATCTACAATGCCTATCAATAATACATTGTTGTGATCTACAATCCCTGTAAAAATACAGCATGTATCTACAATGCCTGTAATAATACAGCATGATTGAATCTGCAGTGTCTGTAATAATTCAACATGTTGGAATCTACAATGCCTGTAATAATACGTGGTGTAATTTACAATCCCCGTTATAATACAGCATGTATCTACAATGCCTGTAATAATACAGCATGATTGAATCAACAGTGTCTGTAATAATACAACATGTTGAAATCTACAATGCCTGTAATCATACAGCATGCTGTAATCTACAATGCCTGTAATAATACAATTTGTAGAATCCACAATGTCTGTAATAATACAAAATGTTGGAATCCACCATCCTTGCAATAATACAACATGATGGAATCTACAATGCCTGTAATAATACAACATGATGGATTCTACAATGCCTGTAATAATACAACATGTTGGTAATCCATAATGCCAGCATTATACAGCATCTTGATAATCAACAATGTCTGTAATAATACAAAATGTTGGAATCTACAATGCCTGTAATAATACAACATGTTGGTAACCCACAATGCCTGAATTATACAACATGTTGATTATCCACAATGACTGTAATAATACAACATGTTGGAATCTACAATGCCTGTAATAACACAATATGTTGGAATCTACAATGCCTGTAATAATACATGTTGGAATCTACAATGCCTGTAATATTTAAATACATCTTGTTGGAATCTACAATCCCTGTTATAATGAAACATGTTCGAATCTACAATCCCTGTAATAATACAATATGTTGGTTATCAACAATCCCTGCAATAACACAACATGTTAGTAATTAAACAATCCCTGCAATAATACATGTTCCTTAATCAAACAATCTCTGCAATAATACATGTTCGTAATCAAACAATCCCTGCAATAATACAACATGTTTGTAATAAAAAAATCCCTGCCATAATACAACATGTTGGTAATCAAAAAATCCCTGCAATAATACAACATGTTGGTAATCAACAATCCCTGTTATAATAAAACACAATTATTAGAATTTAAATTCCTGTAAAAGTACAACATAATTATTCAGATCTATCATCCTTGAAATAATACAACATATTGGAATCAACAACCATCAATAATACAACATATTAGATACTCTAATAACTGCAATAATACAACATATTAAACTCTTCAAACTAATTATCACCACCAGCATTCAGTCAAATATCACTTATCATGAACAAATTGCATCTGCCAGGAAACTGAAATCTAATAAAATTCCCACAAAACATTACAGTATAAAGAGAAATGTTGAAGAAAAAAAAATCAAAAACATTACAGTTCACTAAAGTTTGTCTGCCAATGAAATCGCTCTATTTTGTTTAAATTTTGCCAAAATATTTACCATACAGTGCTTCATACATTTATATGTTAAATGAGTCGATTGATTGGACTCTGCCTATTAAAATAATGCCATTGAATTAAATGAGCCAGGCTAACTGTTTGTCGGGTTATATGTTATATACAAAGTTTAAAGAAGCTAATTTTCTTGCTTCACTTTGTTCGCTCGAAAATTAATTTCTTAAAACTCTGTATATAACCTATAACCTATACTAATGACGCATTCTATTCTCATTTATCTTTTTTATGTTCTTTTAATAGTGGACACCTTTTTCTTCTCTATTTTTAGAAATAAAGACTAGACAAGGTAGAAATGAACTTCTAATTACTGCTAAAAATAGAGTAATAATGATCATGCAAGACCAAACATTTATAAATAAACCAATTAAAAGTTCTATAAATGAACACTTTTTTGGCGGCATGATTAATCATTGCTTAAAGTGTATAAAGCTACATGTATAAACGTTCTTTCTGTGGATTAAAAAATATTGTTTATATTGTGATTAAAATGATTATAGAATTCCTAGAATAAAAGAAAGGTCTGTGTACTTTATTGCAAGCAGATGGGGCTTACCTACCAGAAAACAGCATCTAAATATTTTGATCCGGAAGCTTTTATTCAGGTTATGTACAATAATTATGTATATTAAATTACATAGACATTCTCTGTTACAAAAATTTTAAGGCACAACAATAATATTATAAACAAGAGGGCCTAGAGGGCCCTGGAACGCTCACCTGAGAAATAAGTCAAAAGGTTTAAGTGGAGCGAGCCCCTTTCACCCCAGAATAAACAGCGAATAAGTAAAACATCACAAAAAATACAGGATTTAAAGTACTTATCAGGAAAATCAATGACCTCTGGGCCCGGTCCAATTTTGACCCTAAGGTTTACATTTGAACAAACTTGGTAGACAACCACTAGAAGATGTTTTATGCAAAATATCTAAGCTCTTAAGTTCATTTGGATTTTCACAAAAGAGTCTTTAAGTCTTAACTTTATACATGTATATATAAAAAAAAATCAATGACCCTCTGGGGTCTGGCTAATTTTGACCCTTGGGCTTTTATATGAACAAACTTTATAGACACCCATTTGAAGATGTTTCATGCTTAATATCTAAGCCCTTGCTCTTTGGGTTTTTTTAAAGAAGATTTTTTAAGTTTTTACTATATACATGTAAGGAAAATCAGACCCCCTGGGGTGGGGCCAATTTAACCCTGGGGCTTTTATTTGAACAAATTTGGTAGACACTAATTAGAAGATGTTTCATGCCTAATATCTAAGCTCTAGCTCTATGGGTTATTCTAAAGAAGATTTTTTAAGTTTTTACTATAGACATATAAGGAAAATCAATATCCCTGGGACAGGCCAGTTTTGATCCCAGGGCTTTTATTTGAACAAACTATGTAGACACTCACCAGAAAATGTTTTATGCTTAATATTTAAGCTCTAGCTATTTGGGTTTTTTAAAAGAATTTTTTTTAAGTTTTTACTATATACATTATAAGGAAAATCAATGACCCCCGGGGTGGGGCGAATTTTGACCCCAGGGCTTTTATTTGAACAAACTTGACAGACAGTCGCTAGATGATGTTTCATGACAAATGTCTAAGCTGTAGCTCTTTGGTTTTTTCTTACAAGAAGATTTTTTAAGTTTTTACTATATACATATAAGGAAAAGTAATGACCCCCTGGGAAGGGGCCAATATTGACCCCAGGGCTTTTATTTGATAGACACTTACTAGAAGATGTTTCATGCCAAATATCTAAGCTCTACCTCTTTGGGTTTTTTAAAAGAAGATATTTTAAGTTTTTTTCCCTCTTTGGGTTTTTTAAAAGAAGATATTTTAAGTTTTTTTCATTTGGTTGCCATGGCAACCAGTTCTAAATGGGAACAATTTTTAAAGGTGACCACCAAAGGAATATTCGTGTGAAGTTTGGATGAAATTGGCTTAGGGGTTAAGTATGAGGAGATGTCGTTTAAGGTAAAACTTTACGAACAGACAATGGATTGACGATGGACGGACGCCAGATGAAAGGTGATCACAAAAGCTCGAGCTAAAAATAACAGAATTTCACTGCTT